TGTATGATAGATCATCTGTAAACTTCAGGATGTCATAAGGTTAAAATTATAAAATTTAAGAGTAAATTTATATATTCAGCCATATTACAACCGTAATGAACTCTAGGAAACTAAAAATTAAAATAGGCATTTAGCTCCATAGTAATAGCTTATGCAACTAATAAACAATAAGCTTAGTGGTTTAGGAATACTCAGACTTCGAGTCTTGTCATTCTATCGCTTTGTAACTATAGAAAAAAAAAAAATCATGAAAAAAAAAAATAAATTTTCAATGTTATTAGTACAAGCATAACTCTCTATGTTGATTGCAATTAATCGAAGTTAGAAATGACTATGGGATTGAAATAAGCACTTCGTTGGAAGGTTAAATTGGTAACCTTATGGTAGGATTTCAATAATTGGAGTTACATTATTCTGTAGGAGTGTGGGGTGGTGACCAACAAAATTGAAAGTTGGAAGAGTGAAAAACAAACCATGTTGCCAAACAAACGACCAAAGCCTACTTGAGGATTTTTCAATCGTTGATTGGTATGAGTAATATTTTCTTAGTTGGACATGACTACATAATAATAAGATAACATATTTTTCTTTCATTGGTCTTATTTTATATAATTAAAGAGCTGATATTATTTGATTTCATCAATCTTATCTTATAGTAGTTGACCATTTTTGCATTCTAGTATAAGAGCAATGTGGAGTTTAAGCAATCCAAAAAGATTTATTATGGGAAAAAAGAGCAACTCAAAATCTATATTTTCAAGATTAATTTAATATCTTTTTTATTTTTAGCCCCACACAACTATTATTCTTTTGTTACATCTTTCGTTACATGAGGTTGAAATGTTAATTTACATTTTTGTATGAATTATGATACTAAAAATGATTGATTTTATTTCAGTTCTGAATAAAAAAAGCGAAGTAATACAGAATAATCGATTTCAGTTTTATTAATTTGGTTTGGTTTGGAATTATACCTTACAGATTGCATGTCCCCAATTAGGATATTTATTTTCAAAAGTTAATTTCAATAATTCTTATACTTTTATCATTTTCTAATTACATCATCCTTTTATTTATTTGCTAGTATTTCAACCATAAGGTTAAAAAACATAAAAGATGGACAAGGAATAGGAAGAAATAATAACAAAAAGTAACTTTTAAATCATTAAATTTTATTTATAGAATTTTTTGACTAATTTTTACTTGGTTAATGAAAAAATAAGATAAATCTTAAGGGAAGGATAGTATAAACTAGAAGGATCATTAAATTAATTTTTAGAAGTAGAGGTTATGATTAATATTTTAGATTGAGCATTTATCATTAAGCCAGAAGTTAGTGTGTAAATTTTTCTACTTAATAGCACCATTCCAAATGTTATGTTTTCACTATGACTTTGACCCATCTAAGCTTTCACTATAAAATAATTGCTGCCAGAGCCGATTTCACTTTTTAGATCAATTTAATTTTTAAACTTATTTAAAATGATTAAAAATATCCGGTTTCACTTTTTAAATCAATTTAATTTCTAAGCTTATTTAAAATGACTAAAAAAATTCATATTTGACATTTTGAGTCAATTTAATCTCTAATTCTTCATTGTACTTATAATATTAAAAATTAGTATGAATAAAAAAATCATATTTACCATTTTAAGTCAATTTAACCTCTAATTTTTGTTGTACTTACAATATGAAAATTATTATATCGACATTTATTAAAACTGTAGTTGGAATTGAGCTGACCAATTTATTAAAAAATTAATTAATTATAAAATATAAAAAAATGATATATGAAGTATATTGTATTTCTCTTTACCTTGATTGATGGTTTTGAGGTTATAAATTTGTATTAATTTGAACATTTTAAAATTAACCTCGATTACAGAGTTATCACGTATGAATCTATTCATTTTTCATGTTAAATAAATTAAATTTATAATGCATGTTTATAAATTTATTATATTACAAGAAATGATGTTTTTATGAATTTTAAATTTATATTTATAAGTGTTGAAAAATTTTAATTTGAGTGTTTTTAGTGTATGATAAAAAAGATAAAAAGTCAATCATGTTAAATTAAATCAATTATTAATTTATAAAAATAAAATAAGTCTAAATGTTAAATTGACTTAAAAAGTGAATTCGGATCTTTTTAATCATTTTATATAATTTGATGGCTACATTGGCCCAAAAGGTAAAATAAAATCTGCTAAATAAATTCAGAGACTAAATTGACTTTTATTATTAAAAGGGACGAAATAGAAATACATTCAATTCAAAATATAAAAAAGAGAGAATCAATAACAAACTAACCATTTACAAGGGTGAGTTTGTCTTGGGCTCTGGACTCTGTTAAGTAAAAGCCCAAATTTGAAGGAGCCTGATAGGCCTTCTGATCCATATTGATTAAGATACTAGGCTTCAACTTTCAACTTTCAAGCCCTATGGGATTTGGGCTTTAGACTTTATTCAAATGAAATATCTATCTATCCCTTTTTATTATATTATATTATATATTATCATCATCGTTATCATTATATATATATAAAGGAGAATCATAGTCATTCTCGTGAGTGTTTATATGGCATCTCCCGTAAAGAGAGAGTTCATAGAATTGAGTATTTGATTTTTAGTTAACTAGGAAAATTTTGGCTCTTAAAATTAAATTTTACGAGTTATAAATTATAAAATATAACTCCACTATTTAACATTATATTTATTGTCTTCAACATAATATTATTGATATTGCCTAATTATTATTTCTATCACCTTAAATATGTAAAATTACTCAAATATTTTTATATTTTTAATGAAATTAATTAATGATGATTTATGATGATGTTTTTTAAATTTTTACTTTTTAAAAATTTATTTAATTAAATCGATGACGATTTGTGTATCGATGAGAAACATGTTGTCTATTATTTTTCAGATTTATAACATACAAATATAATCAAATTATTTTAATATTAATTTTGTTAAATATTAATATTGCATGTGAAAAAAAAGTTATTAATTATATGGATTTTGGATTAGCAATGATAAAATTAACCAAAAATAAATAATTGCAATTAATGTCATTTTTTGTATGTGCCAAATTAATTTTGAGATAAAATTTTATCATTAAGTTTGTTCTATATTAATATTGCAAGTAAAAAAAAGGTATTAGTTTTATGGATTTTGGATAAGCAAAGATAAAAATTGACCAAAAATAAATATTTACAACTAATGTCATTATTTGCATGTGTCTTACTCTAATGAAATGATGATATAACCATCTTAATTTGAATAAACTTTTTCGTCTTCTTATTTTCCTTCAAATATTATTTTAAAAATCATGTTTCACTTTATTTAGCATAAAATTTTTTAATTTTACATGATAATGTTTAAATTTAAATTATGAAATATTATGCAGCGTGCGAATCAGAAAACCGCCTAATTATATTATAGTTAAAAGGACTTTGGATGATGTGGCAAAAGTTTGGAGAGTTTTAGAGTGTTTTTTTTTTTTTATAGAATGGAGGAGTGCAATCTAAATTAAGGACCAGTTTGGTTCAACAATTTATACCAATTATTAGTTGGTAGCTAATGGGTTATAGTAGTTAGCTGATTTTTTGTTCATATTTAGTAAAATTTAGCAGCGGTTCCTTTAGCATATAAGATGACTATTAATAACATAATTATTTTTATATATTATGGTATACAATGTATATATATATATATTTAATTTAGGTGATATATTATTTTTTTATTTTAATGCATTATATAGGTAAAAATATTAATTAAATTCTTAAAATAATATTTAAGAAAAAAATTTTATTTTTAAATACCTGTAAATAAAATGACTATAGAAATATTAGTTTGAAAAAAAAATTTTATAGTAATTATTTGTACGAGGTTAATGAAGTCTAAACTAATATAAATATAAATCAGCTACCAGCTTATACAAAAAATTGCAAAATGCACTTGATGGAATAATAGCTTATTGAAACTTCTATAAGCTATTGGTTACTAATTAAAAAAAGCTGACAATTATTATAACAACTATGATTGTCGAACAGGGTCTTAATTAGCTTCATGGTAACAATGCTAGGATTTAAATTTAAAATATTTATAAACAGCAAATATATAATATAATTAAATAAACATGATCACCTTCTCTGTTGTTGTCTCCCTTCATGCTTTTATCAAATTAACAACTAAATAAATAATACTCCTTCCATCTCGTTTTATTTACATAATTTGACAAAACATGTATATTAAAATTCGGTCAATAAAAATCATTTTATCATTTTTTGCCCTGAACTCATTAAGATACTAATAAAATCACTCATTTAATGGACAATTATAAAAGTTATTACGAGAAAAATAATTGTTTAAGTATATAAATTTAAAAATACTATAAATATTTTAGTACGTAAAAAAAGAATAATTAGGAGACATCCCTTTGCGTTTTTAGACTATTGATAATTATATATTAGTGGAAAAATCTATTACACCACAACTTGGTTTGCACGCCACCTGAAGTGGTGGCTAGGTGATCAAGACTTTGTAATTTCCCTACTTGATTAGGGTTTCGATCCTCCATGAGCGCATTTCGTTATGCATGATGTCTAAGTGTTGATTCTGTTGTCGATGAGCTTTTCTTCAAGTCGATATTTCTCAGGCTGAATATGATCCAGTACTCAGGTTCGGTGCATGATCTTGTAAGAAGGGGTAGAGTCTCTTTCGATATTCAAGAGTCGTGTGTCCTATGGAGTGTCTTAAATTGAGACATCAACACCAAGTAGGTAGCTCGAACCGATGTGGCCATGATTAACACACCTAGTAGTTCTTTTTATTATTATTATTTTTTTTATTTTAAGCTTGGTTGCACCTATACAAGAATGCTTGGTTCGCACGTATACGTTTTAGAATTAGCATAGTAGTTTGACCGATTCTAGCGAGAGTCAAAATCACCAAATCTTTTCTCTTAAGATATCCAAAAATTGGAATAGACGCAAAAGCCCAACTGCTCGTCGTTTTCATCAAGTCGGTCGCATTTGCACTTTTCAAGTTTCAACCAGAGTTAACGCGCCAATCGTCTCTGTTTTACATCTCCGAACAAGTGTCTCTCGCTCTCTGCCTCTCTCTCCCTGTTGATGCAAAACAAGGTAGAGCTATATTCAAAAAAAAAAAAAAAAAAAAAAATAGACGCAAAAGCTACGGGCATGACTCACGAGTGGGCGTTTTTACCATACTGGTCGCATTTGCTAACTTTGTCAGGAAGTTCAACCCAGAGTTAACAGCGCCAGCATCGTCTCGTTTTAACATCTCGCCACCATGTGTCTCTCCATCTCTTTTTTCGCCTCTCTTCCACTACGCAGCCTGTGATTTAGGTATCTTGTAGGCGTGGGGCGCTGATAGCAAACAAGTTAGAGCTATTAATTCAAAAAAAAAAAAAAAAGGAAAAAAAAAAAAAAAAAAAAAAAAAAAAAAAAGCAGGAAAGACTAGAATGGGTGATCACCTAGCTAAAGGAAATGAATTCGAGAAGAAAGCAGAGAAGAAGATCAGTGGCTGGGGTTTATTCAGTTCTAGATACGAAGATGCTGCTGACTTGTTCGCTAAATCAGCCAATCACTTTAAACTCGCCAAATCTTGTACGTCCTATTACTTATTTGATCAATCGATTGTTATAACACCTCTTCGATAAAATCTATCGAGATTTTCCAATTAATCGGAAATTGTGGAATTCGATTGTGGTGATAATACATAGCTTGTGTTTTTTCAGGGGATAAAGCTGGATCAGTTTTCCTCAAATTGTCAAATTGTCATTTGAAGGTGATTATAATGCATTTTCATTTTCAGATTTTTTTTTTTTTTTTTTTTTTTTTTTTGTATCGTTTCTTTCTTTTGAGATGTGCGTTATGATTCATTTGGTGTGTGCAGTCGAATAGCAAAGCAGCGAGGCAGCACCAGTGCTTATGTAGACGCCCGTGGCAAATTGCTTACAAGAAACTCGATTAAAGGTGTGTGTATTTATAGCATGTTTATTTTCAGATTTTTTTTTTTTTTTTTTGTATCGTTTCTTTTCTTTTGAGATGTTTATGATTTCATTTGGTGTGTGCAGTCGAATAGCAAGCACGAGGCAGCCACAGCTTATGTAGACGCTGCAAATTGCTACAAGAAAACATCGATTAAAGGTGTGTGTATTTATACATTTAGCCGATCCATAAAAATTACTGTTGATTTTTTCTTCTATATCTCACAATTCCTGAGATCAGAGCTTTTGCTGGTACTGGATGCTAGGTGCTATATCGTGTTTTGGGCAAGCTGTGGATATTTTTTTGGAGATGGGCAGGTATAGCATGGCTGCAAAGAATTGCAAGGTACAACCTCATAATGCTATTATTTACCACTCACCAGCCGTTTGATAATGCAAATATGGAATCTCTACACATATCTGGACTAAAATTGTAGTTGGCCTCTAATATTGCTTACCTTTAACCCCATTCTTCTAGAATGTTAAAGGTAGTTTGGCATGGAGATTGAAACTGCTTTTTAGGAAAAAATATTATTTTAGATTTAGTTGGGAAAGACAATTTGGCAGTGTGTTTAGCCGTTGTAGCATTTATGATTAGAATTTGAAATTTTACCTTAAAAAATAAATTTAGCCATTTCAACATAATGTGTTTTTGACAACTCAAACAACAATGCCAAACATAACTTTAATTTTGGTTTTACCTTTTCAAGCCAGGTCGAAATCTCAATTCTTGCTAACAGAATAGCCATGTATTTATGCAGTGATATACATCTAAAACAAATAGTTCATGCTTATACAAGAAGATGATGGCATTAAAGGATATAATTAATGGTGTTTGTCTTGCGATTACATTTTTTTCTCATTTAGGAAATTGGTGAGTTGTATGAGCACGAGGATAATATTGAAGAGGCTATTATATATTTCGAACGAGCTGCTGATTATTTTGAATATCAAGATGCAAGCTCCTCTGCTAACCAGTGCAAGCAGAAAGTTGCGCAATTTTCTGCACAACTTGGACAGTAAGTGACTTGTATTCTAGAATTTCCTTAGAAAAGAAGTGGGCTTTGCTAATTCTGGTTCCAAATCGTTGATCTAAAGGACCAACACTAACTGTGTCATCAGGCATGCCCACAAGCACTCAACTGCAGTGCTGTTGCCAGCCTGGGATTACTTTCCATAATTTTTTATCCTTAATTACTCTAGAATACAGTAAAGAAAAAGAAACAGTTGAGAATAGTGTGTGCACATAATCTTCGTTTGATTATGGATATCTTTTTCTTCATGAGCAACGTAGGTGAAAAAGAAAAAGAAAAATATATTCTGGGAAACTGATTCTGTTTTTTTCCCTTTTTCTGAAGATATCAGAAAGCCATTGACATATACGAAGAGATAGCACGACAGTCGCTCAACAATAACTTGCTAAAATATGGAGTAAGAGGACATCTTCTTAATGCAGGCCTTTGCCACCTTTGTAGAAGCGAGTTTGCAATAACCAATGCATTGGAGCGATATGAGGTTCATTTCTATTCATGCTATGTATATGAAGTGTGCATGTCACCGTTGATGTGTGAATACTGATAACAACTTTTGAGTTTAATTTCTGAGAAAGAAACTATCAATTGGTTGTGCAGGAATTGGATCCAACTTTTTCTAGAACTCGGGAGTACAAATTTTTATCTGTAAGTAGTTAATAAGTATGTAATCAGTTAATAACGTTGCTATATTAATTTTCATTTCTTAATTTTCATGCGTGCATTTGAGAAAGTTGTATGCTATACCCGCAGTTAGGTAATTGTTTCCTTGCATTTAATGTTCTATTTCACTTATAGTTCATCATGCATGGTTTTCAAATTGCTTACTCCTTTGAAGTACAAAATTCATTTGTAAATCATATTAATTATGTTGAATTCCACAAAATCGAATTTATTGAAGTAAAAAATGAATATTTTTATCCATACCAAACTTGAAAGCATAAAATTCTAACTTTGTGGAGTTCATTTGTAACAAAAATGAGTTTAAAAACTTGTTCAAATCTGAAGTGCTGCACAAATTTCACCAGGATTTAGCTCTCGCAATTGATGAGGAGGATGTTGCAAAATTCACTACCATCGTCAAGGAATTTGATAGCATCACCAAACTGGTAAATATCTTTTGCAACTGAATTGCAATGTTCTGGTTTCTCTTCTTGAATATGGCTAAGCTTTTAGTAGTTTGCTTAACCTGAGACTAACATTAGCATGCTTTGGTATGTAGGATTCTTGGAAGGTCACTCTGCTGTTGAGAATAAAAGATGCTCTCAAGGCCAAAGAATTAGAGGAGGATGATTTGACCTGAATTATCGAACAGACTTTCTCTCTCTCTTTCTCTTTGTCAATTTGGTAAATGGCTATTAGCGTTTGTATATAATTTTTAGTTTGAGAAAATATTTTATATTGTTTGATTGTAAGATTCGTTAAAAATATTTTTCTAATTCTCTTTATGTATTGGAGAAATTACTTTGATAATAATATTGAGGCTTTCTTGGAACTGTTTTTTCAAAATTATTTTTTGAAAAAATATTTACTAAAAGCATATCTTTTTAAATCAAATAAGCACTCGGCCTTTGTTAGGTAGGAATTTCTTTTTTTGATTGAAAGAAAGTAGCCAAGGACATTATCGGAAAAAGTGTTTTCCATGTTTAAGAAAGAAAAAGGTCGGAGAGAGTAATATTTTATTTATTTTCTATGTCAATTTATGTGTTTTGAATCTCTCTAATTTGAAAAAAAAAAACAAAAAGAAAAAGAAAAATGAGCATTTCACTTATTTTCTTAAATTATCTAAATGTTATAAGACAATTAGAATCACATTTTATTATTTAAAAATAAATGATGGTATAATTGCCATTTTTCAATAATGATATTTTATTTTATTAAAAAAAATAATAACATTTTATTTCTTTCACCATTTTATCTTTTTCAGATAAAAAAAATTATAACCAAACAAAATGAGTCAAATAACTATTAAAAAAATTTTACAATTTTTTATCAAGTCACAATGCAAAGAAGCAGTTATAATTTAAATCTTTTTATCAGCTTCTGAAACTATAGATAAAATTTTCATTACAGGTGATAAATGATGTTCTTATTTTTCATTTACTTGATTTTTCCATTAGATTAAGATAATTTTTGTTACCAATTTTCTCAAGTTGGAGATACAATATTTTTTTTTTGTCGAAAAATGTATTGTCGTCGTTGGTCCTACATTTTTTTTAACAACATATTGTCACGGTTTATAATTCTGAATATATACTTTTACAATCAGTCGATGAGATCGTGACAACTGAGAAATCACATATTATCTTCCAGAGGAAAAACTAACCATAGATTTGAGTTTCAAGAATTCTGTCCAAATTTTGTTGTTTTCATTGTTCTTCCCCATAATTATATATATATATATATATATATAGGTAAGACTCCATAATTTAAATTTGTTATATATTTCAAAAATATTTTAAAACAATCTTATATGTTTGGTAATTCGTAACACAATGTAACTGTAATTTCTTAATATAGTAGTTATTTTTTCCAAAGCTAAATATAGTATTAGAGTTCAGAGAATAACTGAAGTAGCAAACAAAACCTTCCACAAAACGACAACAACAAACAGCCAGACTGAAACGCAGTTCAACAGTAGCAGTTTGGCACCAGAGCTACTCTGCCGCCCGAAACCATATATCTGTTTATTTTTTTCACAAATGGGACCGAAAGAAGACAAGACCGATTGCCATGGTCGTTCACTCCTTCACTATCACCGTTCTATATTAAAGACAGCTTCAACTCCTCTTCTTCGCCATCATAATCTAATCTCCTTCCAAAGTCCAATTCTCCTCTTTCCTTTCTATGGCTTCTCTCGCATTCGCTTCGAAGCTCTCCTTGCTTCTGAGCGGCAACTTTAGATACGACGCCATTGGATGGAAACCTACCTTTGGTGATCAGAAATCGTTTTCGAGATTTTTGAAATTGAATAGGAAGTTGTTGAACAACTCTTCTTCTTCTTCTTACTCGAAGGCGCGAATTGTGGTGCCACGCGCCACAGCGGAGCTGGTGGATGATTGGATTGTAGAGGGTGAAGAGAAGAGGCAGGAGGGCGGTAAGGTTCTTAGAGTTGGTCTTATATGTGGAGGTCCCTCCGCAGAGCGTGGAATTTCTCTCAACTCTGCTCGATCAGTTCTTGATCACATTCAGGTAGTGTATATTTGTGTGCCTTCTTTTATATGTACAATTTAACTTCGAAAACGGCACATGAGTCTACTCCAATGGACTTTTTTTTTTAAACCATTTTTTTGGCTCTCTTTTTCAAATTTATCTCAGGGCGAAGATTTGCACGTAAGCTGCTATTATATTGATTATGAACTGAATGCATATGCAATATCCTCTGCTCAGGTTTGTAGAAGATAGTTATTTTATGAATTTGCTATCATATTGACATTTGTAATATGTGTAATTGCTTTAGTTTTGCACTTGATATGCCAGAATTGTTTTGCTTCTCATTTCTCTGTCATTTTTTTTTTTTCAGGTGTACTCAAATACTCCTGCAGACTTTGATTTTAAACTTGAAAGGTAGCCTAGATCTTCTAAAATTTGTTGACACTTTGTGCTGTTGAAATGGAACAATTGAAAAAGGTTAAGATGATTAATTGTCTGTCTTTTGCAGCCTTGCTCAAGGTTTTTCATCTTTATCTGAATTTGCTGAACACCTTGCTTCCTCTGTGGACATTGTATTCCCTGTAATTCATGGTCGATTTGGTGAAGATGGTGGCATCCAGGTGAAAATCATATTTGCAAGACAGAATTTGCTTTTTGTTCAATATATCCTTCCAAATTTTTTAACCTGATACAATTGTAGATGATATTTGTTCCTGGCTGTGGTGGATTATTCAGGAGCTTTTGGAAAAATATAATATTCCATTTGTTGGCACAGGATCAAGTGAGTGTCGTCAAGCATTTGACAAGGTAAAAGATGAAATTTTCCTTTTCATATTGTGAAAATTACATTGATTCTCACTTGAAGTCCTAATAAATATTTAGTTTGAATCCTAACATATAGTTCAGCTTCTCATGCATCATCCATGTGTTGGAAATCTGAAACATAGTGCTTGATCAGGTAATGAGGTAGTGAATCCAAAGATGAACATTATTAGGTGGTTTTAAGTTCTTTGGTAATTGAAAATTTTCACCAGCATTGCATTTCCTAATTTTGTTTGAGTATAAATTGATGATAGCATCAGGTAGACTTCCATTATGACTTGGTCCCAAAATTCAATGTGAGCAATAAGTAGCATTTAGGAGATACAGACAACAAGCAGTGATTTATATTCTTTTATTGACTGGCATACCTGTTTCACTTAATTTCAGTTGATTATTAGATAATTGTTACGAGCACCAGTAAACAATATTATTTTTTTAGACCACTAATACAGAAGGAACATTGATGTGGACACATCGTATGCATCCTTCACATTTGTTTTTTTTTCCAGGAATGGTTACTTCTTATGCAAAATATTATTAACAATTTTCCTATTAAATTATTGGCAGTATCGTGCCTCCTTGGAGCTTAACAAACAAGGATTCATAACTGTACCTAATTTTCTAGTGCAGGTATTTTTCCAAGTATTCAAGAGCCTTTTTATTAGTTTCAATTGTTACTTGGAATTTTGGATCAAATGTCTATGCTGTATCTGTAACTAGGTCAAGATATTAAATTATTTAGGCATGTCTGATTGTGATTGGATCTACTGATACTACAAATGGCATTTAGGGGAGCAAAATGGATAAATCTGAATTATCTAAGTGGTTTGTGAGCAACCAATTGGACCCTAACTCAGGGAAAGTAGTGGTAAGGCACACTTTCTTGTTATCTATCTAAGAAATATGGTAAACACCCATATTGAGATGATTCAGCCTTTTAATACCTCAAACATCGTCCCTACATATTGGCAGGTGAAGCCAGCCATAGCAGGATCAAGCATTGGCGTAACAGTTGCTTATGGTGTAACTGATTCTCTTGAAAAAGCAAGTGATATAATTTTAGAGGTACTTTGGATTTTATAACACTCTCATTGCATTCTGAAATCTACTTTCTGCAAACTAGGTAGTTTTACATTTGAACCTGAAATTAATTGGCATTTCATACATAGTACTGTGGTTGGAATGTTGAACTAACATGAATTATGTGTTCTTTTAATGTTTGGAAGGGAATTGATGATAAAGTCCTCGTTGAAATATTTCTTGAGGGAGGGAGTGAGTTTACAGCCATTGTAATTGACGTAGGATCTGGATTTGATTGTCATCCTGTTGTTCTACTGCCAACGGAGGTATATAGCTATTTGTATGCAGCATGTTTTCGCTTTCTGTTACAGTAATTCTGTTTGCAACATCAGTTTAAACCTCTCAGCACTCAAGGATGGACATGCACTCTATTCACTTTTTGATTATAATCATATGAGATGTTTGCAAACTTGAAAGATATGTTTTACTTACCCATTATATCTCAGAGTGGGTCAGATATAAAATATTGATTTTGACATAACTGGCATTATGTTAAATTATTCTAGAAGTTGCTTAGTAGCCTGACTGCACATTTCGGTGAATAGCTGTAAGTTACCATAGCTTAACAAAGGATTTGGCTGTAGTAATATTACATTGATGTTCAGGTGGAGCTTCAATTTCATGGCAGTGTTGATGTAAGAGAAAAAGATGCAATTTTCAATTATCGAAGAAAGTATCTTCCAACACAACAGGTAGAGTAACAGTGTATTGGAAAATTTCCAATCGCAATTGTATTTTTCAAGTTTTACAGTATAAAATGTTTCATTTGATAAAAATGCCTCAATTTACCTTAACATTCTGAGAAATTTTGGGTTTCTTCACAGGTAGCTTATCATACTCCACCTCGTTTTCCTGTAGATGTAATTAAAAAGATTCGAGAAGGAGCATCTCTATTATTCCAAAGGCTTTGTCTCCGTGATTTTGCTAGGATTGATGGATGGTTCTTGCCTTCTTCCATCAATACCTTTTCATCTTCAGATGGGAAATTTGGAAGGACTGATTTTGGTACAATATTATTTACTGACATTAACCTGGTAAGTCATTGTCCAGCCATTAGGAGAGTGGCATATATCTTTCTTATGCATGTAATATTGATCTTTTGTTCTATTTGCAGATTAGTGGAATGGAGCAGACTAGCTTTTTATTTCAGCAAGCTTCAAAGGTACTTTGCATTATTGTTTTGTGCTATGAGCTTGAACTGCCTAAATTTAGTATTGTTATTTCTTTTTTTTGGATGAGTGTCATTTAGTATTGTTATTTGGCAATGGCAATATTCAGTTTAGGGTGGCATTGGGATGGGAATTTTCTGTTTCCCATAGGGCTGAGAGATGTCCAAACAGGTTGAGGAATCCCAGCTTCTTATCCTTGTTGGGCAGGGGCAGGGAGTATACAACCCCACCCCCTCTCGCTTCATTCCCATGGCAATGACTAACGCCTAATATGTACATATTTTCTATATATTTATTAAGTGCATATATTAGTGCGTGTTTATATATACCTCTCTGCTTCATTCCCATGGCAATTGACCTTAACGCCTAAAATATGTACATATTTTCTATATATCTTATTAAGTGCATATATTAGTGCGTGTTTATATATATAATTATATATATATATATATATTATATTATATGATATATAGTATATTGCTATTGATGGGCAACTTATATTTTAGTGTGTTATATATATATTCCTAATTATGCAACTTATATTTTAGTGTGTAAGATATCTTATTTATAATTTAGTATTATTTAAATGAAAAAACAATATATATAATATATTGAGAGAGAAGGGAAGAAAAGTAAAAGTGAATGACAATCCCTGTTGGAATGGGTATGGCCCTTCTCCATTCCGATTCCTGATTGACCTACATGCTTCTTAAGTATGGAGCCTGGCTCCAACAATTTGCTTTATTTTCAGGCCATTTCTATGAATTAAGATATGCTGATGTTGGAAACTATGGCATTGCTGATTATTGTGGACAACATGCTCATTAACAAGTATATGTAATTTAAATTTTGGAAACTAAGTTCTGTATGGCCTGTTAGTAGATGATTCATATGCTTTGTACAAGCTAATTATGCCTGATACACGTTTTTATGTTCAAAATAATTTTTCTTTCTTTTTTTTTTTTATATAATTCATCTGTTTCTCGTGTGCACTTTCCTCACAAAGTTCCTTTTATTCTTTAGGTTGGATTCTCTCATTCAAATATTCTACGAAGCATCATCCATCATGCCTGCTTGAGATTTCCCAATCTTGCTTCCATCAATGATATATCAGATCATTTGCCGAGAAGATCAAGATCCTCACAGCTTGCTGAAGCATTCAGCAAACAAGAAGGCGCTCGTAAAGTTTTTGTCATATTTGGAGGTGACACGTCAGAGCGGCAAGTATCCCTTATGAGTGGAACAAATGTTTGGCTCAACTTGCAAGCATTTGATGATGTAAGTTCAGGTCATATTTTTTTCTGTTGTTGGCAGTATGTCGATTGGTTGTTAATGTCAGAGATCTCAGGAGATGTGCATTTTAGATAATCTAAAAATGTTCCTCATCAGTTGCTGAGTGTCTCGGTGAAATACCGAGGCAATTCAAAGGCTCTGTGGATTACAATTTGGAAGTTTCTCCTTTCTGAAAAACTCCCTAGATATGATTCCTTGTACTAAGTGTGAAGGGAAATGGAATTAGAAAAAATAAAGCTCTTTCTATGCCTCAAAACATTGTGCATGTGTTTTACACCATTGCTAACCTTTAACCTTTCAACGAGTTATACCATGTTTGTCTTTTATAATCTTTATAGTTTGCTTGTATTGGAATTTTCATTTACAAATGAGGTACATTATGCAAATGAGTAATCTCTGATTTCTACAGCTCAATGTGACTCCTTGTTTGCTTGCACCCTCAAGTGGCCAGTCTTCTGATGCCAGCTCTAGAGCAGTTTGGTTAATGCCGTAAGTACATATTTTATATTTCTGTTCATTTTTTGCTTTATTTTTTACGCCAGGTAAAATAATATATCTTTAAAATGCAGTTATTCTCTTGTTCTAAGACACACAACAGAGGAAGTTCTTGATGCCTGTATAGAGGCGGTTGAACCAGCTCGGGCTGCACTGACATCTCACTTGCGCAACCAAGTGACAAGTGAGCTCATGGAAGGTTTGAAGAAGCATAATTGGTTTAGAGGATTTGATATATCTGATGAACTACCTACAAGATTTTCATTGGAGGAGTGGGTCAAGCTTGCCAAAGAAGTTCAAGCAACAGTTTTCATTGCAGGTTCTATTTTTCAACTATATCTCTTGCAGGCATGTCTTGCATTTTGCTCTCTTTTCCCATTTTCTAAGTGCAATGGTATAATATTTCACATTTTGTCTTTCGTTGATGCATAGAACATGCTTAAGGTTCGAGAATTTATTTTTCCTGTTTTTGGCATGACCTTTGTGACACATATCTGATGTTTTCTACAGTGCATGGAGGCATTGGTGAAGACGGTACGCTTCAATCTTTGCTGGAGGCTGGAGGAGTTCCTTATACAGGTTTGTTCTTACTAAACCTGAATGCAATGAATTAAGTTGTCCTGGAATCACATTGTTAATTTCCCTTCTTTTTTCAAGTAAAGGTCCAGGTCCAACAGCTTCGAAGACTTGTATGGACAAAGTAGCAACATCTCTGGCTCTTAGTAATGTATCGTAACAAAACTAATCTTTTTTTTTTTTTAATTTTCATTTTCATAATTGGAATATCTCCTTTCTTTTTTGGTATGACAAGTCTCATGGTCGGTGGAAATGAACAGCTTGCAGATTTGGGAGTTCTTACCATAAATAAAGAAGTGCTCAAAAAAGAGGATTTGCTAAATATGCCGGTACTGGAGACTTGGAATAAATTGACCTCAGCTCTTCAGTGTAAAACATTATGTGTTAAACCAGTTTTTTTTTTTTTAATTTTCATTTTCATAATTGGAATATCTCCTTTCTTTTTTGGTATGACAAGTCTCATGGTCGGTGGAAATGAACAGCTTGCAGATTTGGGAGTTCTTACCATAAATAAAGAAGTGCTCAAAAAAGAGGATTTGCTAAATATGCCGGTACTGGAGACTTGGAATAAATTGACCTCAGCTCTTCAGTGTAAAACATTATGTGTTAAACCAGCAAGGGATGGATGCTCAACAGGTGTTGCAAGATTATGGTCTGTTTCATGTATTTACGCTACATTCTTAATAAGAATAAAAACATTTGACAGTGAATTTAGTTTAATACTGATAAAAGGGTGTAATTTTAAATCCACCACAAGTTGGCTCTCATTCATACGCATGAATTTAATATTCATTCATGAACATATTAAATTAAACGATCTTCGACTTTCATTCGAATAGTTTAAACTGAAACATCTCCAAGTTCTCTCATTCGAATAGTTTAAACTGAAACATCTCCAAGTTCTCTCATTCGATATTCTTCAAACCAAATAAAATTCATTTTCATTTGTTCTGTGGTGTTTTATTTCTGATAGCCTGTATTGTGGAATACTGGAATATCTCATTTGTAGTAGATTAACTTTAATGTTTGTCATTTTCTTGTTGTTGAGCATTTTGTGCTTATTTTTTTTGCCCATGTAGTTGTGTGGAGGACCTTGCGGTGTATGTAAAAGCATTGGAGGATTGCCTTCTACGGATACTGCCTAATAGTTTCTCAAAGGTATAGAATCCTGGCTAAATCAAAGGCATTATGTTTACGTAATAGTTTGATTAATATTCTCATCTGATTTATTAAACAAGATTATTGTGCGGACTTTTTATACTTGACAAACTGTTGAAAAATAATAAATTACCAAATGCTGATCAAGAAAATTAGAGGTGGACAACAAAATGATAGTTAACCCAGCCATCTATGATAAGAATGAATGAGCATTACGTTCATGCAAGACGTGCGTGGATCAATTGATGCTTGTTTGCAGATGCATCTAATGACTGTCATAATGAAAATTTGCTCTTGAGCGTACAATAGGCTGGTGTTTACTTAATTTATAGTTAAAAATAGTTATTTTTTAACTGCTAGATTGAAGAAGTGATTAATCGACTATGACTTAATGTGTCTATTCGTGGATCTGAAATCTTTGGTCCTTTGTGATGAATTTCATAAAAAGACTGTAACCTTCCAACTGATTTGTCCATGAATTTACATTTCTTGGTGAAGATGTTCATCTGTCATCCTAATTTTTATGAAATGTTTTTTGAGTTTGGTTTGACAATACTCTTACATATTTCACTTGGATTAATGTGAAGGCACATGGAATGATTGAGATGCCCAACCCTCCTCCAGAGCTCTTGATCTTCGAGCCTTTTGTTGAAACTGATGAGATTGCTATTTTATCTAAATCTACGGGGGAAGATCTGCACGGCCTCAAGTGGAAAGGGGACAGTCGATGGGTGGAAATAACAGTTGGTGTAATAGGAAAATGCGGATCCATGCACTCACTGAGTCCTAGTATTACTGTTAAAGAAACTGGCGATATTTTATCACTTGAAGAGAAATTTCAAGGTATGCCTTCCTTGGTGCAATTATCTCCTTATAGGTCAATATGGAAATCCATCTATTGTTTTCTATTCGTTTATAGATGATGCACTAAAATAAGTCTTTAGAATGATCAATAGCTCCATTACACTTTGATATGACGGTCAGGAGCAATTTTGTAATTTTTAGTGAAATAATAGAGCGATGATATGAGATTTGAACAAATGTTTGCAATTGAAGCTTGAGTGTTGCACATTGTGTTACTGAATATACTCCAAGTGTACTTCTGGTCTCTTAACACAGATATTGTTTGACAGGTGGAACTGGCATCAATCTTACTCCGCCACCATCATCGATTGTTAGGTTTGTTTTAGAACCTTTTAGTGAAATACTTGCTTCATGGTTTAATACCATACGTATTTAGAACAGAATTCCTTCAACTTTGTGTTTGAAAGTGATGCATAAATGAATTTCATTTTAAACTTAAAACGAAAAAAAAAAAAAAGTTTGTGCTGGTTCTAATGTCTTTGCAGATGCCAAATCCCATGATCTACACTTCATTTTAGAAAAAAAATATTATATTGCATTAAAGTGAAAATTTGTGATATTGCATCAGTATTTGCTCTGAATACTGTTCATGGCCTTTTTCCAGTTAAATTTAACTGTTTAACATTTCTATTTCATGCTTGATATGCATTATCCACAAGCACAACTTTGTTGTGAATTTTAAGACTTACTTTTTGCAATGAGTTTCAGATAACAACAACAATAACTAATCCTTAATTCCAAACTAGTGAGTCGGCTATATGAATCCTTTATTCTATTCCTCTCTGTTCATAATTAAGTCCGCACCAATGTCAAGAAGTAGTAGTTCAATTGGTTCATATATCTGATATTTATGTTTCGGCTTTTATTTCAGCCTGAAGATAGATAATCGAGATAAGCTAACTCCTAAGCTAAAAAAATTTACTTAATATTATCTTTTACAGTACAACTTGACAGATCAAGGCCTACTATAGATTTTTCTTCATTTAATATTTTCTTAGTTATTATTCTTCTTTGATCAATATTTGATTAAATGAATCTGGTCTTGAATCAGTGCGGAGGCTCTGGAGAAATGCAAACAGCATATTGAATTGATTGCAAACACACTGCAATTAGAAGGATTTTCAAGAATTGATGCTTTTCTTAATGTTGACACTGGAGAGGTATGTTTGATCCCTCTATTAGATAGGAAATCAGGACCAGAATTTCTTTGTTTCCAATTAATCTTTTAATATGATGGAACTTTCTATAAACCAACAAGAAGAAAACACGTCTTTGCAATATAAAGTGAACTAGATTCTGTCCTGTAGTTAACTTATTGAACCTAGGCCAAACAATGTATCATTATGATTTAGTTCTATAGTCAAGCATTCACTTCATGAGTTTTGATAGCAGAATTTTATTTTTCGCGTCTTTTACCTATGATACATGTCACTTCTTGCAGGTGTTGGTCATAGAAGTCAATACTGTCCCTGGAATGACTCCTTCCACTGTCCTTATTCATCAGGTAGTTATTCAAATGCAAATCCATATTTTGTATCGGATACATGTTTAAGCATTTGTTGGGATTATAAGTGTCGATAAATATCAACCTAAAAAACATAAAAATAAAATATATTCACGTGGCCTAAATGTTAGATCTTGCTTTATGCAGGCACTAGCAGAGAAACCTCCTATATATCCTCACCGATTCTTTCGCACATTGCTTGATTTGGGATCAGAGAGGAGCATGTAGAAGTAGAATCTTGTCATGTTCGAATTGCCCAATAATTTGGAAGCAATATTTGGTCTGGAGTGCAGAATGTAGAATTTGGTTGGGTTAGTACCCATCCACACTCTATATATGTTGCTTATTTAGTCCAGTCACTTAGATTGAGAGGAGAAAAGAAAAGAAATGTTGCTGAATGAACATTGTCCGTCTATTTGCAACTTTTTTTCTTAGAATGGCTTTGTGCATTGTTGAAAAAGCATGAAATGAAAGACCTTATGTAAAATAGATTAGCAGCAGCAGCTCCTGCAAATAGAAGACAGACTATTGTATCATATTGTTTTCATTAATTATTAAAAAAATGAAAGTTTTAGTATTTATTAGCAAAAGAAATTGAAAATTTTCTAAAATATGATGACATTATTACCAATATTATTAAAACTTTTCTACACCAAATTCAAATTTTCTAGGCTAAAGCTGCTGTCCAACTTCTAGATCAATTCATTGTATGTGTTAATTATCACACGGAATCTCAATGTATAAAGAAATCAATTAATCATCTAAACCTTATAAAACTTATAAAAGGGACATATATTATTTCTAATGCAAAATCCACATTCTTTTACCCAATATATAAATTCACTCTATTTTGTTATTTTAATGTTGTGACATACTCAATTTTAAAGAGATTTATTTTACTCCTAATATTATTAATTTTTGGTAACATTATACACTTTTTCATACTAACAGTAATAGTTTTTAGGATTTTTGATTTGTATATATAAAACATTAATTAAATGTGTGGTTAGCACCGCATTTTATGTAATATTTTTCACATTTTTTTAATTATTTAATGAGTGCTCAATTAATTTAATTTAGTTAAATTGACGCGGTAATAAAATGATTTTGTAATTTGAAGTATTCAATACGTGTGATTTTACGAGTTAGGTTATTTCATAAGTGTTTATCAATGATACCAAATCTTATGCGTCCAATAAGAAACTAACTTCCTTTTATGGTCAAAAATTTTAAATAATAAATTATTGTGGGTTGATGTTTCCAGTTTTTCCCCAAATTCAAATATCCTAAAAAAATAATAAAAAGTTTCCAATCCAAAATAAAAAACAAAAAAGAATCGCCAATAGACCAACGGGAAAACTAAAATACTAATAAAAGAACCTCATGGATATTTTATACTCCAGAAGGCACTAAAACTACAAGAAGATAACAAATACCTTAACCTGAGTGAGTTGGGTTTCTCACTTTCTTGTTCCAAAAAATTTAGTAAGATCAATTGACAAGTGTCCATTTCCTCAAATGGCGGTGGCGCAAGGGCAGGCGTTCAATTACTAATATTTAATTCTTATAAAAAATTAATTATGTAGTCCCTATTGTTTAAAAATATATCATGTAGTCCCTATAATTTATAACCTTTGAACTAATAACTCTCTAAAATATATATTTTTATATCTTATTTAGTTTGCTTGTTATTCCTTTTTTGAATATCCCAAAATATTTACAAGGTTTTTAAATTTAAACATATAAATAATTATTTTTTCCATGATAACCTTTACAATCATTCATTAAATGAGAGACTTTTATTAATATCTTCAATGAATTAAGAATAAAATAGCTTTTGTTGATTAAATCCTTAATATATGTATTTTGTTGAACCATGCAAAAAAAATGGGATGAAAAAAGTATAATTTTCCCTTTAAATGTCTAAGGAAAATATAAAACTCCTTTATTTCTAATGAGTCTTTTCTTTCTCCTCACTCTCATATAAAAATGAATAAAAAAATAATCTCCATTAAGTCCTAAACCAACATATATTTCTAAAACTCAAAAACCTTGTGTCATAATTAAATAAATCCTTAAAATTGATTTATAAATTAGGGCATATTTATCTTTTCATCAAGTGTGTAAAAGGAAAAAGAATAATTGTAAAGGAATGACTTATGTTATTAGTCACATATACAAATCTAAGAGGTTAAATAGTATATTTTTTAAAATATAGAGTGTATGATTAATATTTTAAATTAAGGTACTAAATTGTAATTTAACCCAATTAAAAATGTTAAACCGGACAATGACCAAAGAAATTTTTTGAAACCAGACGTATAACGTCGTCACGCCTTTTGAAATCTGACCAATTTAAAAAATGCGAATTGCGAAGAAAGTAGTTAAGAGTTGTCAAAACGGCTACAACGTTTTCGAATCTTCTAATACTAACATTGAAAAAGTTTCTCTGTATCCTATTTTTGAATTCGTGTTTTCAAAACTTTGCTTTGAAAATATTGCCATCAGCTTTTGTGGTGTATCAAGGCCGGCACTGGATTTGGTACATTCTGTTTTTTTACTTTTGTTTCTTGATGGGTATATTGGGTAGTCGCCACTCGCCAACAAGGTACCTGTTTTTCCCCCGATGATCAGCTGCGTGCTTGAGGTACTGTTTTTAGTTTTTTTGCCTTTGAAGAGATTCCATTATCAACTTTACTTTCTGGGTTATCCTTAAAAATTCAATTTAGTTTGAAATTAGCTCGATTATGTTGAGTTTATCTGTTGCTTTAGTTTGGTGTAATCTTCAGTCACATCAATAGGTGTTTCAAAAATGTTTACTTTTGCCTGATTTTGTGATTTAAAGTTAATTTCTTTGTGGTGGGCTTGTGACAAATTCAACTGAAATTGAGTAAACTGTAGTACTGTATTGATTGTTGATGAATTAGAATACCTTGCCTTTTGTTTGGATTTTGGCTACGAGTTTTGCAGTAGACAGCTTTTTTTTTTTTTTTTTTTTGCCTGATTTTGTGATTTAAAGTTAATTTCTTTGTGGTGGGCTTGTTGACAAATTCAGACTGAAATTGAGTTTAAACTGTAGTACTGTATTGATTGTTTGATGAATTAGAATACCTTGCCTTTTGTTTGGATTTTGGCTATAACGAGTTTTGGCGAGTAGAACAAGCTTTTTTTTTTTCAGCTTTTTTTTTTTTTTTTCTCTCTTTATGTGGTTTACTTCCGAAATATTTAGATGGAGAAGATCAGTTTCTTGTTTGGAGAAGCTCAGCTTCTTGTCCTTCTATCTTGATGTGTTCATATTAGAAATTTATTCAATTTGCCATATTGCTTGTGTTCTAAATAATGTGGGGCAGGACTGGAAATTTTTCTAGAAAATATTTTTTCTCCAGACATGTTAGAGCTTGTATTGGTTTTTGGATTGGTCTAATGTTAGAGTTCCTTTTCTGGAGTTGAGCTGGTAGACAAAAAAAAATGTTTAGTGTTTATTGTTATTGGCCTTGACTTTACTAATTACTCCAGTGTGTTTATTTGTTTTTGAAAGGTCTCCCGGAAGCTCTTTTAGTTATCAATTCAATGGTTTTGAATATTTTTGGGATGCAAATAGTGAAATGGTGAGGTTTAGGTTGGTTTAGCATTCTACACTTCACTAGTGACTCAGATTTATAAGTTCAGAACTACAGAAACCATGAATTCACAAAAATTTGAGCTGTGTGGCAAAATGGTTCAAAACAGGGATGGAGGAGGCTTGGCAGATGCGAAGGAAGATTTACCTGGGAATCTGAATGAAAATGATTTCAAGAATCATAATAGCAAGCATGTTTCTCTTGATATTTCAACTTCTCGAAAGGCACTGCTGGGTGATGATGACTCTCTTTCTATTAGAGGGAAAGAAGACACGTTAAAAGTAACTCCTACTAGACTAAATGTACTGAAACTCAGTACTGATAGTAGTTCAAATTCTCCGAAGGCTAAATTCAGGCAGATTGCAGAGGAAAGAGATCAAATATCACGTTCTGTGCCGTCTTCCACTTGCCAAGGTTTTCAAGAACGCTTCAATGGACTTGTGGCTCGGAAAATTGATTGGACATCTTTACAGAACATCTGTAGAAACTGGATTATGAATCCCTTTAACATGGCTCTATTTTTATGGATAAGTTGTGTTGCACTCTCAGGAGCAATTCTTTTTCTAGTGATGACAGGAATGTTAAACCATGCTTTACCGAAGAAATCACAGAGAGATGCTTGGTTTGAGGTCAATAATCAAATTCTCAATGCTCTCTTTACTCTTATGTGCCTGTACCAACATCCAAAGCGGTTCTACCATCTTGTGCTTCTGTGTAGGTGGAGGCCAAAGGATGTAACAACACTAAGAAAAATTTACTGCAAAAATGGTACTTACAAGCCACATGAATGGGCTCATATGATGGTGGTTGTTATTTTACTTCACATAAATTGCTTTGCACAGTATGCTTTATGCAGCCTCAATTTGGGATACAAGAGATCCAGACGGCCTGCTATAGGTGTTGGTATCTGCCTTTCTGTTGCAATTGCCGCTCCAGCAATAGCAGGTGTCTATTCTATTGTTAGCCCCCTTGGAAAGGAGTATGAATCCGAGTTTGATGAAGAAGCGCAGAATAAAACTCTCACTGATGACACTGGTCATTCTAACCGCCGCACATCACACGAGAAGAGGTTTTCATTTGCATCAAAAAATGAACAAAGGATTATTGAGTATGCACCTGTATGGAGAGGGGGAATATTAGACATTTGGGACAACATTTCTATAGCATATCTTTCTTTATTTTGTAGTTTTTGTATGTTCGGATGGAACATGGAAAGGCTTGGGTTTGGAAACATGTATGTTCATATTGCCACTTTTCTTCTTCTTTGCATTGCTCCTTTTTGGATTTTCAACTTGGCTGCTATCAACATTGATAATGAGACTGTTAGGGAGGCTCTAGGTTTAACTGGTGTAGTGCTTTGTTTGTTTGGTCTATTATACGGTGGCTTCTGGAGGATCCAGATGAGAAAGAGATTCAATTTGCCAGCAAATAATGCATGTTGTGGAAAACCAGCTATTGCAGATTGCACCCAGTGGCTTTTTTGTTGTTGGTGCTCTCTTGCGCAAGAAGTCCGAACAGCGGACTTCTATGATATTGTGGAGGACAAGTTTTGCAGGAAACAAACATATGAGGTCGACCAGCCCCCTCTCTCTCCCTTACCCCATGATGGAGTGCAGTTTAAATACAACCCAACATCTCCCCTTCAGAATAGCCCTAGGTTGTCCAGGCTCGGGGCTGATTACTCTCCAAGTCCAAGCAGATTTTCAAAAGATTATCATAGTCCAGGCAGGCAGCTTCCCAAGGCAGAGGACGAGTATCATACAACAGATACTGACAATGTCATGAAGCCACCTGTCTTACCATCAATACAAAGGGAAGAAACCACTGATCACTGAACCAAAATATATGAAGGGAAAGACCTGTACAACGGTACATCTATATTACATGTATTTCATTTATATATAAATATATATTCTTTCTCCTGTATAATTCTTGTTGTATTTTGATGAGTCTCTTCTGTTTTCTTAAGTGTTTAAAGCAGACACTGCCATATTTCATCTCATGCTTATCTATTTTGATTGATCTCTTTAGTAACAAGAGTTTGACATAGATATGAGGTTTTCAAAAGCTCATTAAATGCAGTAAAGCTTGTTAAGCATTTTATTTAAGGGTCTTTCTTGTTTAGTAATCATCATTAGCCGAGTTGGACTGGGTTACCTCGATACTCATATAGCTCACTCAAATAAGCTACAAAATTTTGTTGCTTGGATACAAATAATTCAGCCCGAAGTTACTTTTGTATATAATATCATGCAAATCATTTGAGCTGCTCAAAGTGTATGTTAATTTGAAACAATGCTTCTCATGATTAAACATAAGTTTTCTCCTCTGATTCTTTCGAGTTGATGCTGCGTGAATCAATCTTTCTGCACCTTACTTGCAACTACACCCCCCAAAATATTACAAGAGTTAATACTTTTTCTCCCCTTTTATGCTATATAACAAGAGTTAATTCTCTCTTTCTACAATGTCTGTCGAGAACTTTGGATTAGGCACGTACACTAAAATATTACAATTCCTCCCACATAGCTTTCATGTAATGATTTGGGTCTAACTGTGCACATAGTTAAGTGTCTTTTTCTTTTAAGGATTTTGATAGGATGGATGTAAACTATATCAAGGAATGATCAATTTTTCTGAAAGCATTAGAATTTATAATTAATTAATAATAAGCTTGAGTCTTTATCCCATTATTAACATTCAGTGTTTTTCTGCATTTGCTTCCTGCTACTTTTCTGCATGTGCTATTATTTTTCTCTTATTAACTATAATCGATGATTCCTGCCTAATTAGGTATGAAATTGTTATTTAGGACTCAGTATCATTTCTAGATATAAAATAATAGGCTTAATCATCAATTTCACCCTGAATTTTTCAAGTTTATTGCAATTTCATCCTAAATCGACTTTTGTACTTTAAGCATTTTGAAATTATCAACCGAGTTGCAGTTACACCCTAAATCGACCTTTGTACTTTAGGGTGTTTAGGGAACAAAAGTTAATTTAGGGTGAAATTTGCAATTAGTTGAAAATTTCAGGATGAATTTATTTTTTAGGCCTAAAATAATAAGGCTCTCCATAGGAACATGTTCCTGTACCAAACAATAATTTCTCTTAAGTGGGTCAAGCGTCGGAGAACCAAAATCACTAAAAAACAGAGAAATGCCATGCACATGGACCTTCTAGATAATCTAATTACAGAAATAACTAAGCACCTCACCATTTGCATGCATTGTTAGGTCAATTTGCTTAAGCAGCTAACTCTTTCTTGGTAGATTAGAAATATGTAAATGAGAGTCCAACAATATTTGAATTCTTAGTCTCTAACACTCTGAACTAAAAATAAAAGATAAAACTATAAAATGTTGCATTTTTCATTAGAGTTTAAACAGGGTAGAGCCATTTCAAGCTTACACACATCCCCATCAGACACTCTAAATAGCCAGAAGAAGGCCAGGCAGTGATCTGTTGAACAGATCTCTAGGCTGGCTCTGCCACAAGGTGTGGGTTTGGTGCCCAATTTCCAAACTATGTGGCTTGATGTCCTTCACAGTGAGCCATGTATTAAAATACTCTCTAAATTGAGTTATTAGACCATCTTTTAAGGTCCATACATGCACCCAATACACTTTTGCACCTTCCCAACCTTCCACAATCACACAATCACCTACTACTTCTATGCTTCTCGGCTCGAACCTGAACTCGTCGGGGCTCGCCTCACCGGTTAGCACCCTCATCATGTGCTGACATTGTGGAGGTCCATGAAACCACCACTCTAAATCACTTGCTAGGAGTTTAGCCACAGTTTCAATATGACCTTTTGCTAATGCCTTGTATAATGCCTCAACCATTCCCTTATTTAGCATTTCTGGGTTCATACCGGGTTCTGGCACCAGTGATTCCATGCCATTGGCTGCCATTTTTTCTTGATTAGGGAGGTTGCTTTTAAGCTTAAAAATGGCTGTGAATACTTGTTTTAAGTGGTGGGTTGCTATGGCCAAGTGGAAGCTATTTATAGGCAAAAATTGGAGAGGTATGTGACTTAGCGAGGGTCAGAGGGGGACCCTTTATGCTTTAATGTGATAAAGACTGGGTATTTTGATGACATATGGGAGATCCAATGGTCCAACTGAGTTTTCCTAAGAGTTGGGTGTGTATAATATTATTAAATTAAATGAATTATTAACTTATATTATCCAAACAAAAAAATAAGTCCAAGTATAGTGCTGTTCTGAGGACAAACGATGGGTTTGTTTTCTAGATTACACCCGCACCGGATGAATACAAGTCCACAATGATACTTCTTTATAATGACTCATCTACCCTTCAATTTTAATTTGTTTTTTTTCTTTTTTTAGAAATTTCTGAAAGTTTTTTTTTATATCAACCTTTTTAACTTGTAGAGCGTGAAGATCTTTCTTCTTCCTCCCAATTAGTGCACTTTGTTGATAATGATTTTGTATCATTCTCACAATTCATTTTGTATAACTTGGATAATTAATGAAATTAATTTTTTTTTCTTTCTGGGGAAATGCTAAAACTTTAATTCAACTAAATAAAAAAAAAAAAAAGCTATATAAGAAATACCGAAAAATGAGATGAGAAGGATAGAATCTCCTCTACCTTAACTAGAGGTTTTGAGTTTGAGCCATGTGTATGAAGCTCCTTTAAATATTTGAGAAGGAGCGCTTTACCTACCTCCTTTATAGATTTGCCCAAAGTAAATCCAGATTAATCGGACAAGCGGACTTCTCTCAATAAATAAAAATTTTGTTCAATCACCTTTCCACAACAATAAGAGGTATATGGAATATCCAAAAGAAGAGAATGGTCCAAAACTATGCTTCCTAAGTAACTTGAACTTCCCATCATAAAAAACGAACATAAGACTACTTAGTTACTTAGGCGAATATTACTCAGCAATTTGTCTTGACAATAAGATTTAAAGGTATTATTCTTTATTCCCTTCTTCTCTAAAACTTTACCCTTTTGTGATTTAACATTGATTGCATATTGCAATTTTTTATTTTTCAGCATGTATTTTCCATCGTATATAGACAAGTATAAAGGCAATTAAATTTACACATTAGAGTTCGATTTTATATGATATTTGTGCATTTGGGATGAAATTAGACCCTAACCCCTTGTTTTTTTCTTCGTGAAATTCATTTAGAAATCTATATTTTGTATTTGGAATGAAAAGAAATGTAGATTTCAATTTTAGAAATTCAATTCCATTAAATCCAATATAATTACATCAGATTCCATCAAAATAGATAAAATTTCTAAATGAATTCCACAAAATTAAGTCATTCAACTTTTTATGACAAAATTATTATTTTCCTTCTACAAAGTCAATTTTTCAAATTTTTTATTTTTTACTTATTTATTTTATCAAACTTGACGAAAACCATTTAAAATTTTATTTATTGACTTTAGAAAAATACATTTTTATTATTATGTTTTTTATTTTAATATTTTTTATCTTTTATTTTATTATTTTTTAGTAATTTTTTTTAATAAGATGCCTACCTGTTTTTTAAGAGAGATTCAAGTTAAATATATGTTTATTACTAAATTAAATACAATAATTTTATTAATATTATTTTTATTTTATATATTTATTTAAATAAGAATATAACAATTTATATAGCATAACGTAAATATAATTGATATTCATTATTTATTTATGTGAAAATACTATTTCAATTATATTTTAGCAAACAAAAACAAATGAATTTTCAATTATAAATTTATCTCATACATGACTATATAGAATTCAATTGAATTACTTATTATAAGTTAATCATACTAAATATGAGAATTCACTTAAATATTAATAAATTTACAGATCTAAAAATTCACCATATTTATATAAATGACGAGCGTACGTGTATTATTTTTTATAAAGATGACGAATGGACCAGACAGCGAAAGATTGTGAATTCTCATCTACCTCTCTTCCGACTAATATTCCTTCCATTCATTACAACCAAACACGACTCACAGCTCATACAGCAGCTAAGTGAAAGGCAAGTGAGGGATATTTCTGTCAATTCAGCGTAGAATATGATGTGGCGACTCATAAGATGCCTGCCTGGCAAAGTCCGTTGACTGTTTGACTCGCCTCGTCATTTCTTAATGGAAATCGACCTAGGAGCTATCATGTCCCTTTCCTCGTGTGATGCTAATACTGTCACTATACGATATTCCTTAAATGCCCCTAGTTTTGCTTTCAATTTTGAAGATTGCCCTCTATCTCTATGTACCGACATGAAAGTTTAGAGACATTTTCCGTTCGTAAATAAGTAGGGTTTAATGTTCAATCATTCCATTCGAACTAAAATTAAACCACCCTTCTAAAACAAATAAAATTTTCCATTGATTTTTATTAATAAACATTACCATATAGTTTTTACCTTTCAAAAACGACTGATTTAACTAGAGTAAATTAAATTTATCGGAATAATGTCGATTTAAAATATTTTTATTTTCTAATTCAGTTATTTGATATATTAGGTTTTCTTCACAACTGAAGTTAGATTTCTAGCCTTCCAAATCAAAATGATTTTATTAAAAAATCGAATTAAATCAATTTAAGAAATATTGATTCAGTTAATTCTATTTTAACCCATTATTGCTCTCTCCCATGAGTAGTAAGTCCCCAAATAGATCATGAAATCATCCAAGTGAGACACTCTCTTTCAATGCAAAATTCGCTTGTTGAAACCTAACCATCACGATTTGTTTTTTAGTCATTTTCTAAAAATTACAAAGAAAATAATAATAATAATAATAATAATAATAATAAAAGAGACAAGGACAAGGATGTTGTGTACGTAGAGAGCCCATGCATCTAAGAAGACGAGTTGGATCCAACGAAGAAGCCCCTCGTGTACATGGATTTGGCAAATTATTTGACTGTACAATGAACTGAAATGAAAAACCACAGCCCCCCATATGGATTGGAACTCAGCTGGCCACTCTTATGTTTTCTGCCCATCACTCTATTTCTCAGCCACTACAATCCATTTGATTGGTCTTTTCTTAGTGGGAGAGAAATCCTTTTCATGCATGATTGACATTTAATTTATTTTTGTTTGGTCTGAGATCCCATTCTAAAGTGTACCAAACTTCAACTCAAAATTGATTGGAAAATTATTGATATTATTGTGTTATAATTAAAAAAAAAATTCTTTCTTTCTATATATAAAATATACTAATTATAATTCATTTTCATATGCTCTAACAAATTAAACATACTCTCTTTATAAATAGATAAACCAAAGAGTAAATATAAAGCATTCTAACCTAATTATAGGAGGATTTTCTCATTGTGTCTTACTGTATAGGTCTTAATTCAAAATTGAATTGCCGAAATATATCAATTCCATTTGATTTTTGATTAACTAAATCATTTCACATCCTTAATTTTAAGGTCAGCTTTTTAAAAATAATATCGATTGAAATCCTCAATATCATTAAATTAGGATAGATAGTATTATCTCCAAGGAATGATATGAAGTAGTATGGATATCTTTTTTCTTTATCCTCTTTAAACACTTGGAATGGAACATTTTGCACGAGGTCTCGAGTTCAAGATTTATTTATGAAATCTTTTTAAACACTCGAAAGTGAGCACTTTGCACTTCTTCTTAAACTTACGTGACATGAATCTATATTAGTTAAGTCCGTGAGCTTCAAATATTAACACAAAAAAAAAAAAAATGGTAGGATCTCCAAAGACAAAAGGGATTTTTAGCTTGTTAGTACGCCAATTCATTGTGATTGCAAAATATATTAAATGAATAAACGGTGAATTATTATTGTTAGATCATACACAAATTCAAAAATCATAAAGCTAATATTTAAAAATATGATTGATTTAGTAGGTCACCGGAAAATAAAGAGGGTGGCAGGCCTAAAACCTATTCCTCTCGCGTGGCAATCAATTGGCCAAATAGAAAACAAGTAAACTTATCACGTGCAATGCACAAGGATATCGTAGTCACTCGTGTCTCTGAGTCTTGCTCATTTGCCAAATGCCCACCCTCATTAATTAAATCGTGCATCGTTCAGTTGTTTCTGATGAAATGTCTACAAGACTGTGATTGATTTTGATTTTTTAAAGCCAAAAAAGGGAGAAAATGAGGAAAAAGAAAAGAAAGGAACATTTGGTTGGGGATAGGCCACTGCATTGCTGATTTAATCCATGCCAGAAAATAATTTGGATATGTATAGATTGTGTTTTCAAGCAATCTCCATAAATGATAATAAAATTACTTTCTGATCAACTCAAAGTATTATCAAATGTTACTCTTGTTCTTTCTTTTCTTTTTTACATAAAATTTTATATTTATGTAATTAAATTTCCATTATCTTATATTTAAATTATAAAATTATAAGTTTGAATCATAATAAAACTTAATTAATCAAAAAATGTTATACTAAATTTGTATATGACTCAATAGCTGACAATTGAAGCACCACCTCAAGCACTGATTATAATTAATTTAATGTTGTGGTTGCTCATATATTACCTTCCAAATGTAACTTCATTACAAAAAAGAGAACACATAATAAGTAATAACCTTATTTTTGTTTTCCTAAATTATAATCTGCCCAATGCCAATAGTATATTTCTGAAAATTAGATCAGCAAAGGTGAAAAAAACATTTAATAATAATTAGAAAAACCAAAAGAAAAAGATCCGACCTGCCGGATTCGAACCAGCGACCTAAGGATTATCTGAAGGTTGATACCAGCTACAGTCCTCCGCTCTACCAACTGAGCTAAGGTCGGATGTTAATCTTAGCCCAAAATATTTCTAGTAATTTTAATGCTTAGCCATTTCATTATCTTTTCTTTTTAAATATAGAATCAGAATGGATGGTTTTATGTCTAGTGCCGGTTCTTCTCTCCGAGTTGAGAACGATCATTCAGATAGATGGGTAAACTAATGAGTTCAGA